GCTACAAAGCTCCAACCAGTCGTCAACCAACCATCAACCAATCACCAACCAACCAACGAAACCAACCATCCTAACCTCTCATCAGATCGCGGGCACTCACATCGCGATGCACCATCCTCGCGACCACGTCCATACATCTCGCTTTAGCAGTGCCTCCCAATCGGTCATCCGAGTCGGTGTGAAAAACGTTGAGCCCTCGATCGAATCGACGGTTGAGAGCCGAGAAAGTTAATCGCCTTGGCCCGTCAATCGTTCCTTCCCGGCCGCACACACACATATCTCCCTCGCGCACGGTAACGCGTCCACACGCGCCCACATAACTTCTTCCACTCTCACAGGGACTCGCATAACCTCTTCTACTCTCGCACCTACTTGCATACCTTCACACCCTTCCGCGCATCTAAGCGAGTGCGCGTGCACTCGTACGCGCGCACACTCGCCACTCTCGTGCGTCCCGTGCAGTCGGGTGCTCGAGCGTGAGCAAAGAGCCAAGAGCGGAGAGCGAGACGGAGGTACCCCGGCGCGCGAGAGGGAGAGAGAGACGGCGAGCGGCGCGGGAGAGGAGAGGATAGGTCTTGGTTAACGCGGACGTGGGCTTAGAGCGCGGCAAAGGGGCAGTCGCGGCCGGTTAATCATCGGAGGGCAGCGGCGGCTGCTGCGCGTCGGGTGCGAGGCCGTTCGCGACTTCCTCGTTTTCGCGCTACTCTCCTCCCCTGTCGACGTCGCCGAGGGCCCGTTAGCCGGCCGGGCCCCCGGGCCCGCCCTAGCGGCCCCCTTAGCGCCGCGCCGTCCCGACCGAAGCTGTGGAGACGAGGTAGAGGGTGCCCGGACTGACGCGCCGGTGAGTGAGAACGCGAGAGATAAGGAGGGAGATATCGACTTGTATATTAAAAAAGAAAAAGTGTCCTGCGCCGCTAATGTGATTTTCACCTTTATTATTATATATTGAATGGTAACTTCGCTTTGTCGACGTGTTATCCGTTTCTATTTGTATTTTATATGTAGGTATAGGTGTATTCTCGATGTCCCTGTGTAAGTTTTTAAAAAAATATTAGAAATTTATTTATTATTAGGAATACAACCTCGTGGAAGGTTTAAATAATGGTTAGAGATCGTTCGGGCAGATCGGGGGACTTTGAATTTCTTGATTTACAGGTGTTTGGAGGGGTTGGTTAATCGGGAATTATCGGTGTGGCTTTGTGGAGGAAATTGGACTGCTGATAGTGGGAAGTAGGGATGGAAGGAGGAAGGGAGAGAAATGGAAGTCCTGGCTTGTTGATTGGTACCCGGATTAGGTACATCGATCTCTCGATTCATGCAAAGGAAGTGCAGCCCAGTGAAAATCGTATAATAACGAAGTCAACGTTCTGTAGAGGAAAGTCCGTGTAAGCGATATATATATTTATTTCACCTATTTTTAGAAGGGAAAAAAGGAACAAATGAAAGAAAAATCGAAATAAGTTTTGCTCGATATCGTATTCCAAACCAATCACACTTTTCTTTTTAACCTGCTTGAAAGCACCGTTCCCATTGCCTATGAAAACAGAATTAATATGCTCGCCGCAAATGAGATAATAAATTATTTGATCCGCGTAAAACGAGACCGTGTTCAAAAAGGTCATTAATCGAGGAACATAAGTGTCTTGCATTTTGAAACTTCAGACTAGGTCGGTGAAAAGTTGTCTTCGAGGAAGACATATTGGCGAGATAGGAAGGACAAGATCTATCAGATTGGATGTTTGATTATTTGTAAATAATGAAATATCCAAACTTATTATCCGTCATAAAATTGTTATCAGATTGACATGATGGTCCTCGAAGGAGGCTCCGAATATCGCTCCTCGGCAGATGACGCGCGCCACGTGCGAGGATGGAAACCGGTGGACACGGAAAGAACCGAGATCCTTTCGGGCGAGAAAATGGAGATTCGGGGCTGTAAAAGGAGCTCCTCCGGCTCGTAAACCTCAGATTGGCACGGCGGGCCTTCGACTCGGATCGCGAGATCCTTTTACCTTTCTCTCTCGCCTTTGCACGCCCTTCCTTCGCTATGGCCCCCTCTCGGCCCTTAAGCTCGATTCACACCTCGAGAGCAGATTAGACCTTTCCCGGCGGCCCGATATTCGACGTTCCCCCTTGACTCGAGAAAATTTGAGTCGACAGTCTCAATCGATTTCAAGTTACGTTTCAACGGAAATTCGCCACGAAGTAAGCCAAACAAGTTCTCGTGATAAAATTTAAAATAAGCGAATATTCCAACTAGAAATTCATCTCGAGGCCTCACGTCGTGTAATCGTAGCTCTCATACCACAGATTTATTTACCGGAATTTGAAATGAAAATTCCATCCGGAAACCTTCACAAATTCTCGACTTACAAACGGTTGCCAGGAACCAAGTAATTCGTAAGGGTGAGAATTGCCCGTATATCTATACTAGGATGCTCTTGCACTGAAATGCAATCTTTCACGAACAAATGCACTTTTATTAACAATTCAAACACTCTGCTGAATAAGAAAATGGTTTTTTTAGAAATACCTTTCATTTACCTATATTCGAATTCGTACATATGTCACTTGCCGGCATTATTATCCTCCGTTGTACGATGAGTTTTCATAAGACGCAAATACCCGTTGATACATTTTATGGGATTAAGCAGCCTCCAATTAGACGACCCCGTTGCCCGTCTATTGCCCCCTGGTTATTCTCCGATTGCAGCTCGGTCGCTATTTTTGCAGCCAATCGAGCTTGCAGTGCCGCGTGGTTGCGAGGCGCAGGACGATAATTGATTAAGCACACAGCTGACCGGTTACCGCTTGAAGGCACTCGCTTCCATATTCATAAGTAGAGACCCTCGAATTCGCACGAATCCCCCAGGGGTGCGAAACATCCTTTGGCCGGTTCTCGCCGTTGAGCTCTTTATTCGCAGAGGCGTCAAAGGTACTCGGAGAAATTACTGCAAAACTGGACACGAGTTAGACGGGTCTATTAAAAACCGGTCGATCCATTGGTGCGATCGATTCATTGACGAGGACGGACATGGATCGCCGGCCACGGTTTATTTTACGATAAACCGACTGGATGCTGGTTCGCATTTGCATTCGCACACTCGGCTAATAGTTCCTTGAATTTCTGCAAACTCTCGGAGACAAGAGGAATACTGGCCTCGGGACAGCTAATCTTGACTTATGTAAAAGGGAAACCACGGCATTCGAAACACTGTCAGTGTCTGGACGGGTCTTTTTACCATTATATAACGACGATTGTAAATTTAGGAGAAAAGGAGGAAGTGAGATATTACAAATTTCCGACTTTCGTCTAGAATGTGAAAATTGTAGTTTCACTAGCACCAATGCGGTGATGGAGAATCTCTTATACTCTTGTGTTCCGTAATTCCGGGTGTACTATTTTCTATACTGCAAAGTAATCCTAATTTCTCTTATATTTCCTCCCTTCCTGTTATCCTTTCTTTTTTTGATAATATAGCTTTATACCGTGTGCATTTATTATACAATGCGATACCATTCTCTATACCGTCAGGCAACAGAAATGTTTAATTCTTTAATGTCGCGTTCAAAACGTACTCCGAACAGGAAATGTAATTCCGACGAAACGGATTTTTTTTCTCAGCGCCGTTCACGCATTTCACTCGTATAACGTGCACCCGTTGTACGTTTCCCGTTTATTTTGGCTACGTGCGTTTAAACTTCTGTGGAGAAACCTGAAGGCGATTTTACAGAGGGCGACGAACGTGCCAGTTTAACGTTGCTGCCAATGATCTCCTCGGTTATTGTCGGAGCCCAGTTATTGCCAATTGCTTAATTAATAGAGAGCCAATGGGGACAGATTGTAGCGGTCGATAAGTCGTTAAAGGCGTATTTAAGGACTACAAGTAGATGAATCGCGGAATCACCGAGGAGAGACATAAATGGGCGATACCCTATAAAAAGGTTCATAAAGGCTAGGCGACCTTATTACAGCTGTCAGGGTTCGTTACACCGACAATCCGCGTCGTTTATTTCTCACGTATAATTAACGGTAAAGTGCATCCTGATTAAGAAATAATATTATTCACAAAGCTACGCTTCCTGATTATGAAAGAAGCGATAAGATATTTCTATGGGATTTAATAACGAATTGAAAATAGCACAATTCTTAAGCAAATAGCGATATTACTAGCGATGAGTAAAACGTAACGTTTAATAAATAGCAATAAAATGTTTTTTTATCGAACATTCCGAACGTTTCACTTTATCAGCCGTCATTCTGATTCCACTGTTAAAAGTCTAATTAAACGCTCGTAAAAAAGTTTTCAAATTGACACTCAATATTTGATCACCTCTAGATTATGAATTAACAAACAACCTTTGTAGTTATCTGAACAAGTTAGATTTAGAAATTGGTACACACATTAAACGATGGCGGAATCCACTTTTGGAGTAACGGAAGATAGGAAGTCGGGCCTTCCTTAAACGTGGACAAGGGTCTGTGTGCAGGAAATGCATGAGCCTTTCGTGAAAGACGTTAACCCCGACTATAATGTAAGAGCCCTCGTGAATTCCTCGGTATAGAGAATACCTTTGACCTCCGAACCCAGGTTTCCTTCTCGCGCTCCGTTTGGCTTTAAACGCGTACGGCCGTCCTTCTTGTTTCCGAGAGGGGAAGAGTAAAGCGACGTGTTCTTTGAGGGTAAAGGCTCAAGCACGCTTACCCGGATCGGCTTGAATCGATTCAGAAAAATGCTAAAGGAATGAAACGGGCACTTTCAGATGGGAGTGCTCGCACTTCTCCTACCAGAACCGACCTGGATTACAAAACGTCCGATTCGATTTTAAACCAAACTAGTCTTATTCTATTGTGTGTAAAATCTACCGCTCTTTATTATTAGAAATAATAATTGTGTACTGACGTAATAAATTCTTTATTATCAAGCATAACATTCTTAATCTTAATGAATTGTTATGTTTCAAGTTTAATCAAAAACCTGGATTTATCTTCGTTTCAGGACTCAAGCACGGAGGTGGTGGTCTCGGTAGTGCCAGCAGCTCCAGGAGTACCAGCCCAAGTCAACAGCAACCTCCTCAAGGTGGACTTTCCTTTATCCCCCAACCAAGAGGACCTAACTCGGGCAGACAACCTCCGGCGACCACCCCAAGGTAAAATATCCCGCAGTCTCCTTTACTAAATAATTGTACACGTGTCAATACTTATCATTTCAATATTTTTGCATATTATGATCAAGTTCGAGTCTCACCTTTGTCTTTGTGATGACTTTTGATCCCACACTCTGGTGTAAACTCTCGTCTTCATTAATCGACTACGCCTAAGTAGAATATCCGACAATCTCATTTACTAAACAATAGTACACGCGTCGATATTAATCATTTCAATATTTTTGCATTTTGTATTCAAGTTCAAATCTCACCTTTCTCTTTGGGATGACTTTTGATCCCACACCCGAGTGCAAACCCTCGACCCCTTTGATCGCGATGCAGTACACGTTGCTTCTGAATACGAGTCTCACTTCCCTCCCTTTGCGGCTTTTCCGCGCGTTACACCTCGGTACAAATTTCACCCCCTCGCGCTATTATCGTACAAAGCGCGCACTATATCCGTCTCTCTTGTTTGCAGCCCTCGGGCTGTGTCTCCCACCACCTATGATAACAAAGCCTATCTATCTATCTCCCCCACGCCGGAGCTCTTTGTTAGACGAAGCCAGAGCCTGACCCGCTACGAGATAAACTGCTCTCGTCTAACCCTCACGTTTTTCTTCGAAGAGATGGACGATTTCGACATCGCTCCTCCCCGATGTAAACAAATGCAACGCGAACTATTCTCGATCCTATAAACTGTTTACACCGGTCAGAAGGAATGTGACGATAAGGATAAGGAATTGAAACACCGCGTTTATTGTTTCTAATTTATATCCTCAAGAGAACCAGTGAATTTATTGCTTCATATGAAACAATTCGATATTTGGTTACAGTTAATTACTATTGATGTTCAATAAATGCTATTCGAATGAATGGAAGATTTAAATGCAGTAAAGTTATCGTTTGGAATCAGTGTCCTAACATATAAGGCATATTTGCATGCGTTTTCTTTGGGATAACCGTGATATATTAATTTAGACAATGTGTATTTCAATTTGTCGGATTTTTGTACATTTACAATTTTGGCATAAGCAAGTATCCTAATTTCTTTCTTCGTTTTCAGCCCACGAGCATCGACGGTTGGTCGTCCAGGTGGTTTGAGAGCTCCTCAACAGTCTCCGTACACAGGGCCACCAGCGCCTCATCCGCAGGGAAAGAATTCCGTCCTGGACAAATTTAAGTTGTTCAACAACAAAGAGAAAAACCAGGATCGCGCGAAAGCGTCTTCAGCGGTCTCCAAGAGGACCTCCAGCTCCTCAGGATTCTCTTCGGCGAGGTCGGAGCACTCGGACAGCTCCACGTCCCTATGCGATCAGAGCAAGGTTCAGGTGGAATCCCCAAAGAGTCGGGCTTTGAAATCGAAGTTGCAGGTGAAACAGGCTAAGCAGGCAAGTCCAAAAACTGCCAGGAAGGAGCAGGCAAAGGCACAGAGCAAGATCGCCAGGACGAAAGGACCCGAGAAATTGGTCTACGCTCCACCGGTGGAGGATGCGAAACAGAAAATCGCCAACGCCCCGTCGAAATTCTCCCTGGACAAAAAGACCGTCGCCAGTTTCGACCTATTGAAACAATCAGCCCAGCTGCAGAAGCCTAATTCGGGTCTAACTGCCCCCAAGGTTCCCCAGGACCCGAAGATCCTGCCCAGCCTGAAGAGCGAGACCAAACAGATACAGAAGCCAAAGATGGACCAAGTGGGCAAAATCTCAGACCCTAAACTCAACCTTCAAGCCCTAAGAGCACCTCCGAATGGACTGAACAAGGATCTCCTCGTTCAGAAGGGGCTGATGACAACAGGGAACGAGAGCATCAAACAGGTAAACGAGCATCTCGCAAGGAGCCCCACTCGCGAGGACGCAAACTCGAACTTCGACAAAACCCTGAGCATGAACCAGGCTAACTTGTCGGGAAACGAGACAAAAGGGCTTGAGAGCGACATTGGAGCGAAGGATTTCCAGGATCCTCAACAGGGTCTCATGACCGGGGTCATAGTTTCATCGCCGGAGCATCATCTGGTGGATGGGGTTCAGGGACCCGATCGAAACGATCGATTAAGTCCTAGGAATATCTCTGGGATCAACGAGAAAAATGAGGAATCCATGTCGGCGAACAGGTTTATCTGCGTTCAAGAGCCCACAGGGTTGAGTCAAATCCCTGAAAATGTCCCGGGGAAGCAACCACCTTCGGCGAATTCTCCTCAGCACGCGAACATCCCTACTTCTGGGGTCAGTCCGGGATCCAACATTCCAAAACCAACGGCCCTGGTCAAGGGTACTTCGAAACCTCCGAAGGAGTGTAACGTTCCGGGGGTCCCAACCCCCACGAAGCTGAAAGGCGAGTCCCTGCATAGGAAACTGGACCCCAACACCGTGGCCATGGTCTCGCCGATGCCAAGCATTTCCGACCTGATGTCCGAGAGCTCCCACAGCAATTCCAACAGCACGGGCCAGAGCAACTCCAGCGACAGCAGCGTCATATACAGACCCAGCAGCGAAAGCGGCAGCGAAATCAAGACCATCCCCAACAGGAAAATCGAGACCACTTTCGAGCAGATCGAGAAGGTCCTTCATCAAGTTCTCGTGCGCTGCTTACAATTAGAAAGTAGAGAAATTCAGGCTCGGTGCAGTTTTCACGGTTCAATGAGATGAAACGTTCCATTATCTCAGCGATAATTTGAGTTGCGTGATTTTGACCGGAAGTACGTAGTTTACGTCGAGTCATAACTTATGTATCAAAGAAAGGGAAACTAATCACGTTTATGAGTACTTATTAGACTTGAGACTAATTGATTGATCTCAATCAATCACGAATTATGGCGAGGCGAAACTATCTTCCACGTTGTCATTCGCGGCATGTTCAACATTCTATCAGGATGAAACTGACACGTTACTTTTCTGAATGGAACCCTGAAAATACGTTCAACAGGTGTCATTGAGCGTTTCACGAGTACGAGCATTCCTTTTATGCATATTTAACACGTGCAACGCATCCGTACGTTTGTGGAAATTGTAGCGACTCTGGCACGCGGTGTTGTAATTATGGAAGCTTCGTTCGAATATATTTTTGAACAATTTGTCCAGGTCCTGTCGGAGGGTTCCTGCGGAGGTTCCATAGCGGACGACGAAGCCGAGATGACGGTGAAACCGATGCAACCCCTTCTTCGAGGTTACACCCCTGGAACCAGAGGCCTGCAGACATTGCCAAGTAGGACAGCTACCAGACAGTACACCGTACTGCACTCTTCCTCGCACCACCACGTGGGCCACGATTACACGGACATCGACATCGCCTCTGGGTACCTCAGCGATGGAGAGATCCTCAGAGGTGGCATGAGTGTCGGTAGCAGGACACTTTCCGATCTCTGCGACGGATACATGTCCGAGGGCGGAGCATCCCTCTACTCGAGGAGGATCAATCCGTCTTACGGTCACGACCACGACAGGTGAGTGTCCTGTTATGTATCTATATCGGGATCCAGTGAACTAAGATAACATGTTCACCATGTAGGGTATCAATTTGGACGCCAGGTTCCACATGTAGTCCTGGGTTACATGCGATCTAAGGGTAGTCCAAATAGAAGACAACTCGCATGTGCAATTGTTTTACGATATAGTAATGATGTAATGATATATTAATGTTGCAATAATGCTTTGACGCAATCTTAGAAACTGGGCTGATTAGTATGCAGAGTTAGGTTAATCCGGAAATTGGCTTCCATCAAGGACCCTGCAGGGAAGGATTCGCATTCTAATTTTAACCTGGATTGCATTACCGAGCACTGGGATTGGAATGCCGACTCTGATTCGCCTATTATGAGGTTGAATTTAATCTTGAAATTTCCTTTCGACTTCTGGCTTGGTAATATCGTGGATTAAGGACGAGAGTTGGCGAAGAGGTATTTTTGTTCCTGGAGATGCTGTAAAGTCGTTGCAATAATTTCAGCTTTGATTAATTTATTTTTCTAATTAGGCCCTGGGATTTCAATTCATTTGCGCTTCGCGGGGTATTCGAGAACTGCAAAGTGTGCAGACCGTAATTAAAAGACATGTTTCATTGTAATTTTCTTCAGCCTCTGATAAAGAGGTCTCCCGATATTCCCGTAATTAAACATGCATCAGGTGCATATATCTTCCCGAGTACTCATGAAGGGGAATTTCCTCTTTTTTCGAGAATTCTCTCGGCGGGAACACTCGCTCGCTGAACAGCCGGCCAACCAAGACTAAGGGCCTCCAATTAGGCGAAATTTGCGAGGCTAATTTAGCGAGGCTATATGCGAGTACGTGTCCAATTACTTTCGCGCCCCTGTCGTCCACCAAGGGGGGCGGATTAATTCGATTAAGTTAGGTGGAGCCTAGCATCTACATTTGCCAGAGAAAACGTGACTTCACGTGTCATCGTATCGGATTATTCTCTTTCTCAGTTCCCTAATTCATATCGCAGAGTTAATTAGGAGAATCAATGTTGATAAGGAGGTTTCATATGGTGATATGTGGTGGCGATTGCTGTCAGATTTATCTCAATTTTGGTCTTCCGTGGATATTCAAAGGAGCAGCAATCCTCCTGCATAAATGTCCCGCGAATATTTCACGCTATAAGGCGCCTTTTCATGCCTCCGAATTTCCCCTTTGAAATGACACCCCGAGGATGTTGGGTGGTTCCCGTCAAAAGATCAAGGGGTGAACACCCTAGAAGAAACTCGGGACGAATGCGGCCCGACGAAGATGCCCTTTTATAAACATATCCGATATGCAGACGAGCCCTTGCTCTTCAGTAAGGGATTTCTGTCGAGAGATTTTCAAGAACCGCTTTTTATACATTTTCTTTTTTTTTTATATTATCTTCGATATTGCACACGAAGGAAGACGATGTTACAAGCAACGCAAAACGTGATTGTTCGGTCGGAATAATTCGGTTGAATTCGGCAGAAAATGAACGTAGGTGGAGAGTGACCTCAAAGTTCCCCGTTTCAAATTTCCCGTTTCGGTCTGAAGATGAATGGTGTGCTGAAGGATCTCTTGAACGGGTTCAAAGGAACAACGTGCTTTGAAAGGTCTTTGGACATCGCCTAGATAACTCGGCCTAAGAGGGGCAACCGTCCCGTGTATGGATTCCTTTCATGCCTCGAAATCCTCCTTTTGAAATCGACTGCTGAAGGCAGCACTAAAGATAACTGAAAAACGACATGCCAAAATCTTGGAAGGAACGAATCCGACTGAGGAACGCGCGTTAGAGATACACAGCGGGATTATTTGAATACGATATTTTCGATATCATCCCTCTAATTAAATAGATCTTACTCGGTAAAGAAATCAAAACTTGCCACTTTTCTCTCTCAAACAGTTCACTTGAGAATCTTACGATACAAATGGTACAGACATTATCGCCCTAAGTTTCGCTATAGCGGGGAACATCCCCTTCTCGTCGAAGAGTTAAAGCACATTGTGCAAGGTGTCTTTTGGCGCCCCCGAATTCTCTCGCAGAACGCTTTACCCCAAATCCGGGGTTGGTCCTTGTCGAAAGATTAAGGGGGTGGACGAGGCGGAAGACGCAGGGCGGAAGTGGGCCAAAAAGGATAATCTCGATTAGATCCCGCGGATTGAATTTGGATTCGGCCGCGCTCCCCAGCTAGGGGGTGGATTTAGCCCTGCCTCGGGTGGAACACCCCCGGCGTTGTTTTCGCGGCGCTTCTCGACGTCCCGCGCCCACGACTAACTCCATCAGGGTATATCCAAGGCCGCGTATCATCCGCTCGTAACCCGACGCGCTTTTCGGAAATTCAATATACTTCCCTCCTACCTCGGCGCCCCTTTTCGGCTCGAACCCTTATAAAGAGCGCCCGGGGGAGAGGAGCGCACCCCAAGCTCGGCATATTTGAACGCTTATACGAGCCTTCGAGTGGCTCGCCGACATTACCCTCGTAAAACCGCCCGAAGTCTTCAATGGGCGCGAGTCGCCCGATTCCATGGACACGTCGGAGGAGGTCTCGTATTTGCTCGCGTTATGCGCTTTATTGCTTGCTTTGTCGCTAGCCGAAGTGGAATTTATTAGCCTACGCACGGTTTGGGAGTCTTTTGTCAACATCAATATCGTACTCGAGCTTAAAATCAAATATTGCGATGAAATCTTCGGAACATCGACTAATAAGACTTATGTATCAACTACAGGAACTTTGCGAAATTCATCACTTGTGACTCGTCTGTTCTTGAATCGAGGAAACAAATTATGACAATTTTTTTACTAATATCAATTTAACCTAATCTTTTAAACGAGTTTACTTAAACGAATGAGATATTTAATGAAAAAAACGTGATTTAAAGTCAGCGATTTTTTATTTCTCTAAAAGAAGTCATGACTTTGATCAACCCTGCTACCATCCACCTGGCGACTATACGTCTCGTGCCGCGTACCATATAAACCGTATAAACTCGACAACTATGAGCACGCCCTATCTAAACTCGGCCCGTTTCTCGCTAGGTCCGGGAACACTCCGTTTCCGCCGCAGTGTACGAAGTGTGCGCAGGGTGTACAGGGTACACAGGGTGATATGGAGTCAGTGTACTACTATGCCACTATGTAGATAACGGAGCCGGTCCTTTGTCACGGGTTCGCGCGGCGTTCCGCATTGTTCCGCCGGCGTCGCGGCGGTCTCGGGTGTTTGCCGGCATTCTCGAGCGCCGAGACGACGGCGTCTCGGGACGTCGTGTCGAATCGCGGCAAGTTTGCGCCCCCGAGCGGCTTCGTCGGGTGCGGACACCTATCTCGGGAGACGCCATTGTTGCTCGTCTCGCGACGCTCCGAAGACGCGACGCCGCGACGACGATCAACCCTTTAAGGGCTCCCTTCGCGCCATCTCGAGGGGCTGAATATTTCCCTAGGAGGCGACGGGAACATCTCCTTTGCTTTCGAATACCTGAAAATAAGGATCGACGAACTAATAACATGTTTAATTAAATCGTTACGGGTCAATTAATTACCTCTGAAACGTTCAACCGAATTTCACCAGGTAGACTTCAAGTGGACCTTTAATTGCTAGGTACCTTATCTCATCTTAGCGCTTCTCAATAGAGGGTTAAATAATTCGATGATAATTAAAGACGCCTACCCCAAGTAGCTAACCCGACTTACGACTAATCGCCTCGCGCTAATCTCAACTCAAACATCAAACCCTTTTTCCGCCCTCTGCGGTTCCGATTGCAAGGTTAGTTTCCGCGTCCCACAAAGGCGTGATCCTCGGAGAAGGGGACAGAAGGGGGGAAAAAGCCCTAAGCTCCACGATCGCAAAACGCGCGAGACATGCGCCACGATGCCCCCTGAACGCAGCGGCAATTACCGTACGTGTACACACTTCATCGCAAACTTAGGATACTCAACCACCGCGAATGTAAAAGTGGACATACACGCCGTAAATATACCAACAAAGTACATGAAACATTCTCGTTGCACTCTGCCTCGTTCAAATTATCGGGTTGAGTCGCATTAGCATTTCGTAAAAGTCTCAAGTCACGCCTTAAGATTTCGCGATTCGGCGAAAGAACGTTGCCCGTGGTGGGGGCCCGACGGTCGAGGGAGAGAGAGGCTACGCGGGGGCAGGGCGCGAGCGAGCGAGAAGGGAGAGGGGCAGCGGGCGTGCGCCACGAGGGGCCGTGACGTCGCGCGATCGATCGCACTCGGGCCGGGCCGGTGGCGCTATCCGGTGGCGACTCGGCGAAGCTCGAGGAGCGGCGCATGGCGGCGTGGGAGCGAAAGAGAGGCCGGGAGAGTGCGCCGCTCGGGCGGGAGAGAGCGAGCGCTGCCCGGAGTGAGAAAGAACACCCGAGATAGCGATAGTTCTCCGGGGACGAGCGGACGACCGACGTGTGCCGGGCTCCGGTCTCTCTCCGAAGCCTCGAGAGGAGGGGGCGGCCCTTTTTTTAAACAAATTCCGAGCCGCGCTCTGTGTGAAAAGTGCGACGTGCGCCCCGGAGCCGTCGGGTGAATCTCGTCCCCGCATCTTCGAGCCCTCGACCGTGCCGACACCGACGGTAACGTTTCCACGCGACCAACCGGCCGTTACTTGGCTTTGTTGTAATTATTATTTTAGTCGCAAGATCCTAAATCATTTTTTACGCCAACCAGTCGATAACCGAGGTCCAGTTTTTGCGACTTCGAAGCACGCCGCGTGATATATCCCGTACTTCGACTCGTACCACGGCTTGATTATTGGCCGACGCGGCCTCGGCATTGTTTTTCGAATTATAGGGGACTTTCTGCCGTGGTTTAAGGGCCCTCGATGTGCCGAATTTCTTCCGCGGTATTTATCACGATTGACACCTTTTACGGTATTCCGAATTCCTTGTCGTCTCCGTTTCTCTCGGTGACGGTAGTTTCAGGGTAGGACGTTCGTTGACAGTGCTTTAGGATCATTTTTCTATTCGTGGGGAATTTCTTGCAGTCGCGTTTAAGGGTCTAGAACGCACGGCATTGGTCTGCTCGCCTGGCACGACTGCAGCATGCGATACGATTCCGCGAATTACCATAATTATTTCTTGCGGGTTTGCGGGGGTCGCTTCGATCCCTCGTAGGGGTGGTTTTCAGGATTCTAGGGATTCCGGGTTTTTAACGACCGGCTCTTCTAGAGCTTTCACTTATCGCTGGATCAACCGGTTCGCGTGGCGTGAAAGGTATCCTCTTATTAAGACCACGAATCATAATCGATATTTCCCTCCAATTGATCGGCGATAACGATACATTATCCTCGGAAAACCCACCAACTATTTAGAGTACTCTGGGAATTTTTCCCGGATATTTCTAACTCGATTGACCCATAATGGAATCGTAACGATCGTTACCCGCTCTCCAAAAATTCCCTATTAATAATAAATATCAATGCTGAGAAACTGAAATTAACTCATACAGTAAATGCGTATTTCCGAGATAATAATGCCGATCGAGTTTTCTTTTTATATTCTCGATAATTAATTCCACGTCTAATTTTAATCGACGGGGCTTTTGAATCGTTCGATCACGTTGAGAGAGGGAGAAAAACGGATCCATCGATTTGTCCAATAAACTGGAAGGTAATTGGTCGATTCCTAAGCCGTGTGCGCCGCGGTGGCGTGACTCAGGAATTCTGCAGTCTTCTTTCCGTTCGGCCGTGCAGCTTTCGTGGCCATGGTATTAATCCTAAAGCGACATCCCGATTGGTCGGCTAGTGGACTGTGCGCTTGCCTTAAGTCGATGGCCAGCCTGGCAATTAGCTAATGCTCGAGGGGAGGCTCGTCGACGTTCGCGAAGACCATTGAATGCATCCGTATCTAGAGGCGAGTTCCCGATGTCGCTAAGAATCTTCCATGTGCCGAGGCTCCGATCAGAAGGTACACCGAGTACATACGCGGGTACATATGTACATTTCATGTCTAAAACACGCATTATACGTCTAAACGGTTGGTAGATACGGTATATACCTTCAACGTGTACAGGGCACATGTAACGCGCACACGAGGACCAGTGGCGTAGCCACGGAATTAATCACGATAATGCAATATCGTCGGTTGGAATGAATTTGTAATTAATGCTAATGCATTCGAGTGGAATGTGCACGGTCGATTTCTATTTTCATACCCGTCTGCATTCTTGGTTAACATTTTTGTCATTGCGCAGGGCAGTTCCACGCGGTGGGAGGAACAGGTTCGCGTAATTCCCATTAGGACTTTTAAAACGGCAGAAGAACTCTGGTCACCTGGACCAGTCCAATCCCCTGGGCTCCATTCTAGAGATGGTAGGAACGATTCTCGCTCTCGAGAGATGAAACAAGGATTCCATTAAACCCCTGGTGGAGCCTAATGAAATCGTGGCTGCCCGTTGGAAGTTTGACCCCAGAAACTCCGACCTGGAGATCGTCGACGTAAATGCCTTCTCCACGGGCCAAAATGGGGAACCTATTAAATAGAAGAGCCAGGACGAATCTCGACCCCCTCCAGGAAATTTGATCCCACGAGCTCCGTCCCGAAGCTTCTTGACGCAATTTTCTTCACCGCGGGCTGAAATAAGGATTCCATTTAGATCCCCGGAAGACCCGGAGCAAATCATAGACACTTGTCCGAGGTTTGACCCCATGAGCTCCATCCCGAGGATCGTTGACCCAACTTCCTCCTTCGCTGACTCGAATAAGGAAATCCTTAGAAAATTTAGAACGGCGACCCTTCGCCCGAAGTTTGATCCAGGCTCCATCGGGGGGGGAATCCTGACACGACTTCCTTCTTCGTGGGACAAACAAAGGAGTCGAGATTGAACGACGTTCCTTCCTCGTGGGTCTTACCTTCATTTCGTCGGGGAAGGAGGTGAAGACGAGAAACGGTCTAGGTCGCACGTTTTCCCCGGGGCTAGTCGTGCGTCGTCTCCGAGTAGATTGGGTTAAGGGTCTAATCTTACTAATAGACCAATTCCCTTTACCTTCCCTTGGTCTCTTTCGCCTTCCCTTGGTCCATCGGCGAATATACTCGCCCCCAGGCAATCGATCCAAAATCGGCAATGGTTGCTTCCTTTTCAAGGAGATACGTGGAATGTTCTTTATTCTGCTGACTAACCTTGAAAGATGTTCATCCATTATCAGATTGCGGTTATACGCTGTCATTGGTCGGAATAGGAGAAGAAAAGATTCATTTTAAGCGTATATTTATATACCATTTCTTTGTATACATGTATTATTAATCAGTTGTTTGCTTATGGCCTGCTTGATTAATGAGACTTATTCTCATACTGCACTTTTAGCGTTAAATGACGTCCTTTAGCCATTTAAAGACTATAGCTGATAGGCGGCTTTAGCTATAAAAATGAGACATGAGTACCCCTAAGAGAAGAAATATTACAATTCTTCAGAATTTAAGTCGCTTTTGGACAACTTTACTTTTATGTATTTTTGTTCCTTACTTTCCTAACAGATCTGTCTCTTCCAGATTCGTCAGCAGCTCTAGGAGGGAACTGTCAGGGGTGAAGGAGTTGGTCAACTCCAGGAGAGTGCAAAAGCGACCATCCGGGAGCAGCAGGACCGATGGAGGCTGCATTGCTGGGAGCAGGAACATCGTCGGGGGTGGATTGCTAGGGGGCTGCAGCGGAGGCAGCGACGCCCTGGCGGAACTCACCATAGAGGACCTGGCATCCATTCCTGCTGGGAACCACACCTCCTCCAATCACACCGGACATCCGTCTCACCACAAGGTGAGGCTTCTTCTCAGAAACCGGGAAAATACCCCAGGGTGCCCGAGACCGAACCTTTTATTGGCTCATCAATTCCACGGCAGGGCGTTCCGGGTAATAACTTTCATTATCCGTGGACAGTTGAAATCGCATGACACCCGCTGTAAAGGGTTAACCGTCCAAAATGTTCATCTGCTCAGCAAACAAAATTAAATTACCTCTTTAGCGGCACTGTAAAATGCGTGAAAATTTTACACCGCCGCGTTATATCCGAGCGAATGTGGTAATGCTATCTACCTATGAAGTAGAATTCACGTACATTATGCGATAACCGCATTTCGCGGCGTAATCTCATTAAATTGCACGTTACAGATCTCCTGGAAATTTCCATAGCGTGCTCCACGGCGAAATTAACTGCGTGAATACTTTTGGGAGTTTCCTTTCATCTAGAATTCGCAGTCGCGCGAAGCCAAAATTCATTTCGTTTGCTTCGCTTACATTAGCCCGTGGATAGTTTATTCCGTATCGCAAATTTATAGGAGCTGGTCTTTTATTGCGCGAGGTTAATCACTCGTGTGTGAACGAGTGCGGCGAACGACAAATAGGGGGCGGGTAAAAAGCAATGGAAACGCATACTCGTACTGGACAAACGTCAGCTGTTACGTCCTGCAGCTGCTAGCAGACCGGCCTACGCATACACCTATGCTGCTTCTCCCCCAATTTCTTCCTCTCCTTTGATTTCCGTCGGAAAGCTGCCTTTAGTCAGAAAATTGAAACCTTCAGTTTCGGGACGTAAAGTAGAACAGAAGCTTTCAAGCCTTTCCTTCCAGAAATCGATACCCATTTCGACGTTCTTTCCTCGGGTAAACAGTCCCCTAACACACTTTTCCTATAAACGGATTCGATATGGTTTCCAGTCGACGGCTTAAAAAATTACTAGCAACGTCATTCCAACGAGAAATCCTGCTTCCGTGGTATATACTCTATTTCTTATATATTTAAATCTCCTGTTTTTCACTTCGAGAGGCAATAATGCGATGGCGATTTATGGGCAGAACTTTGTCGCCAGAAACTTAAAGCGGACTCCGGAGTTTGCAAGAACTTCACCCGGACTTAGCGCATTACATGGAATACCAATTTCCTTACGGAATGGCAAGTCTCGTTCGCGGTTACGATCTCGTATATACTTCTTTGTGTTTAATTCTTAGAATTAATATTCCATCCTACCTATAATCTTGTTCCATTCCGTCCATGAATCCGATATGAAGGCGCAACGGGGAGGAAGTCTTTTTCAGAACAGGAAAGAAAAATGCAGGTCTCCGTTTTTAAAGCCACCCTCTCTCCTTCCTTTTAGGTCGTTTAGGTGGGTTTTTGGAGCGTGCTTTCTTTTTCAAAATCAACGCACAAAATGTACGGTTAGTACCGACATTCATGAATTTATCCTTCCCTTTTTTCTTTGAACTAACTGCCTATTCACGACGCGGCCTAGTAAGTGCGGATCTCGGTACGTGCATGTGCATTGTATACACGCAAACTCCAACTTCGCCATGGAGTCTGAGAGCCCTTACGCTTCTTAAAACGACTCCTGAGGCCCTCCTCTCGAGCGAAATAAGAAAATAAGAAAACCCCGGTCCCGGTATTGTCGTTCGATCCTCCATTTAAATATTCCCCTTTCCCCCGTATCCGACACTCGGCCGGCTCTTATTTCTCGACTTTGCTTCGCGATTGCTCGAGGATTCGTCTCGTAAATATATACCCTTGAATTTATTATATCCCTGTCGATCCTATTCGTGAACGTGTTGGCGATGACGACTCGATGTATGGGAAGAACTCTCGGCTTCCAGTTAGTCTTCTTCTTCTCCCTCAACTCTTGGTTTATTTCTGGATTCCATAGAGATATTGTTTCCATCTGTAGGTAGAACTTGAAATGAAAGGAATTTAACGAATATCTGCGATACTGCTCACTTAAATAGAATATCGTGTAATAAATTATGGAGATTTGTTGTCAGACTTTCCTTTAAATTCGGCTTAAATCGCTTCAGTACCTTTAGACATTCTACGAAGTATCGTCGATTTCTACTGGTTCGGGTGGGAATTTCCGATGTAACTTTTTCGACACGTGCAGACTCGATTTGGAGTCCCTTTTCCCGAGAGATTGTTTTTCCGGCTCTTTTGTGGAACCGAGGGAGAAAAAGGCGTGCTCGCAACTCGGTTTTCCCTTTCCTTTGCCACATTTAGGAAGAGGAAGTTCCGCTTTCTTCGGTGGGCGAGTTCCGGAAAGTCGAGGTGTCAAATGGGCAGAACGTGCTTAAAATGGAATCTGAAATACGAGGCCGGAAAGGATTAGGCATTGTCTCGAGTTAACTTATGGAGCCAGGTCACGTCAGGTCACATAATGGGATCGATATTGCTCTGAAACAATAACCGCACCTAGTACCTCGCGGTAATTCGCGGTAACTCGCGGTAACTCATGGTAACTTTCTGCCACTCGGAGTAATTGATTGTAGCATACGTTTCGAATGTTGAAATCGGGTCTCGTTATTATTTCATTCCCTCCATCTCGATCTCTCGGAATAAATATCTGGAAGGAGCGCCAAGAACCGGAAGGCAGATCGACCTCCGAACTCCTCGTCACGTCCACATCAACGAGACTTAAAAGGATTCCCTGCAACTTTAGCGGCTTGTGTAAACCGGAAATTGCGCCAGATATTACCAGATGCGTTTCAATCACTTCGCACTTGGCCTTTGCCCTTCCCGAACCGCAAGAAATTATTCACGGGTAAAATGAAGCCTCGCCTAAAGTATTTGCCAAGCAATTCCAATTGTTTAATATAAGTCATGAAAAACTTGTATTTATATTCCATCCGAGTACTTCCTTCGTCGTAGAAAAAGCCGCTTCTCGTATAACACTTTCAACCAAGGCGTTGAGTACGGTCAGGTTGTCCAAGATCTAGGCCATCCGATGACGCCCTCCCCTCGCACGATTTTTACCGATAAAGAAGTCGAAAGAAGCCTTCGTCATAATTCCATCGTTCGGTACTCTTGACTTTTCGACGTTAACATTGTTTATATTGTAAATATTTCCCCTGTGGTGGAAAAATACGTTTTCGCATAATTCTTCCCAATAGAGGGGTCGAGCAGGGTTCCCTCCGCACGCGCGCGGCTCGGAGTCGACGACCTTGAGGGGCAAAAAGTTGGCCGTTAGCGCACCCTCTATATCGTGGCGTAGTACGTGGTCACGCATATCCGCCGGTGGGCGGAGGGGGTGAGAGGGGTCGGACCAATGGCCGCCACCGGCGCGGCCTCGCAGTCGGTAGACGACCTCCGGGGTGCGTGCACGCACCTCGCGCTCCGACTCCCGTCCTAACCTCACCGAGAGGACCGTCACGAGTCATCAGGCATCACTCGCGGGATTAACCGAGATAGGCGACTCCCTGTCAGTCGACGTCGAAACGTCGGATCGTTCGGTTCGGCGAGCGCGTCGGAGGCGGGCTCCGAGAAATTCATAACCTCACCTTCCCCTGAAGCGTGAGGGAATCCCTCTTTGACTCCTAACCTCTTCCCTCTCGGACGCCCCTGGGAATCCGCCTTTTCACGGAATCGCAAGGAGAAGAAAAATGGTGAGCTTGTAACGGCGACGCCACGGCGGGAGATAATGTGATCTTCCTAATTGGCAGGCCCTTTGAATCCTTAGTAATTGCCTTTCGAGCAAGTGGCCGGCCATCTTGATATCGGAGGATGTAAATCCTATGGCGAAGTTTATGTGCGATTGTAGCGCCACTCGAGGGGAGTACAGAAAGAATTGCAATGTTTCATGGAAACTCACGGGAGAGAAGTAGAAACGATTGGTGCTTCCGAGGTCACCGGCGTTGCGAATGCTGACTGTACCTACTTTATGTATTTATTTACATTTGGATCACGGAGGTTAATTTTTGTAAGGGTACCTACATATTCCCCACGCTTACACTTTTCACGAGGCCGCATCACAGACCTACCATCGGAATACTAATTGATTATAATTTTTATAACATTATAGTCTTCCCTTGTTGTACCCCAGCTTTAAATCTTGGCATTCATCGTTGCAATTTCTATCACATAGAGTAATTACTGGGCGGAGAAGAGTAGCGGGGATGTTTTAATGGTCAAAGGGCCAAGGAAATGGGTCAGATGAGGTCTTGAGAAATTCACGACCACCCGCTCTTTGTAGGGGGGCGCCGTTATGGCGCCCCGAGGGAAGACCTTGACTCTCTGCGCCGACTTCGTCCTTTTGGGAGGCTCTGGGGAATCCGCCAATCCGCGAAACCATACGAAAGGACTCACGGCGTGTCTACGACGACGATGCTATTTATTTGGCCGCCGAGCGAGCGCGCCGAGTTCAAAGGGCGTTTATTGTTACAAGGCGCCGCGGGCGCGCTCGTAAAACACATCCGCGGGCGTGGGTAAACCTTAATCTGCGTTTTCATTCGGCTACGCACGAGCGCCGCGACGCCCCGGGTAGGGAGTGTTAAGAACCTGAAGACGTTACCGGGAAATAATACCCGGTGAGGAAATGGGCCTCCTAACCCCTCGTTATTTTCATGTCGGAAGCAAATTGGATGCTAGATATTGGGTATTAGATATTAGATACGGACTATGGGTTGTAAATTCTAAAGTGCGGTGCAGTAGCGGGTAGAATGTAGCACGATTATTCTTTACATAAACTGTACTCCGGAAAGGACGTTCGGGTTACTATTCAGATCTTTAAAAATCATGGATTGCAACTCATGCGCCTATTTTGTCGGATGTGTTTCAGATAGAAGGTATACGACGTTTGAATTCCACGATGGAGGAAGTTAGAGATTTGCAGTTTTCAAAGTTCATTAAAATTTTTTTTTTTAATTCTTTTTCTTTGGTTAATGCACTATTGCTGGAGAATTACAGCATAAAGGCGGCATTTTCTACCCTCTATGAGTCATCTCATAGCGAATCTAAAAGCCGAAACGCTCCGAACGAGACACACCCAGCCCTATTCGAAACGCCAAACACCCTCTACTGAATCATGACGCACATGGGGGGCGAGGATCGATACGCGAGAATCGCCCTTAGACGCAATTTGACCTAGGTCTTGATAGGGACATTTAAACTCTGAAACCGGGCACTGCGTGGTTCTAAACGTCCACGGGTCAAATGATAAATATCTTCCGAGTATCTGCAAGTGATAAAATATTGGTGATGACCGTACTACTACTCAGTCTTAGTCCGTCATTAATAATTTTTCATAGTACCAAGATTAATGTGGAGTCCTTGGTACGACCTTTAGATGTAAGGATTTTTAAATAATTGTCGATACTCTGTTATAATTCCACATTTTAAATGGTACATTCTGTGGTGTGCAATGCGCTGATCATCTCGTTGCGTTAGTTTAAACTGATTGTTAATTATTTTCGTCCGTTACAGAGGGTGCCGGGCGGCGGTAGCGTCGTCGTGGGGGGTGGCGTCGGCGGGGGAAGTACGGCCACCCCCCAAGGAGTACAACAGGGCAACAACCTAGTGTACCGCGTGGTGAGTTCGCGACACGCCGGAGGCGGCCACCACCCCCACGTTAAGAAGTCCGACAGTGCCCAGCAGACCGAGAGTTCGGCCTTCAAGCAACACCAACAGCAGCAAGGCTCCAACTGCTCAAATAGCAACTCCAACAGCCAACAATGGAAGAAGTACATCGAGGCTGGTGCAGCCAGGGAGAGAGACAAGGACGGGGCTCCTCCGAGTCCTAGCCCTTCCAGGCGATCGCAGGTACGTTGGCTTGCATCATTGTTACCCCTTAATACCGGAAGCTAAGGCCGGACACGTTATCGTTAACGAAACGGTGACGTAGCTATTGATATCAAAGGTTTTGAATTTGATAATTGTCCCAATATAGGGATAATGTTCCTCTCGAAAAATTATTTTAAATGAACATCTTGATCAGCCGAGTTCGTATGCTTACCGAAGTTAATTTGTGTCGCAGGAGAAGCACAGGAAGCAAACTATGGCCGAGTACGCAAACGGAGAGAAGCCGCAGAAGGTGTCATCGGGAACGTCAACAGGCAATAGCAGTAAAGTCAGGGGTGTGCCCCAAAGCTTTGGGTACGTCAAGAGACACAGTGCTGGCACCAGTCCGAGTCCAAATGGCTCGCAAAATGGCAGCAAGGATGCCGCGAGGACCGCGCAAGTCAGCGCCGTGCCCAGGACGAAGGTATGCTTTGTTTAATTTTGATTGTTATTCGAATGAATTTCAATTGTCGGAAGTGGCAATTTCTCGTAACGATGCTTACGCTTTTCAGGTTAAAGTTTCGGGAGGCACTCAGACGTGCACGACGGAGCTGCAGGCGAACTCCTCGGGGTCGAATCAGGGGCATCATTACAAGAGCTATAGCCTCACTGGACCAAGTGCGAGCCAGCTCTCACAGTCTGTTCGAGATCGGTTGATGCTCGGATCGCAAAGCCTTCCAAAGCCGGGAAGTCCTGAATTCACTGCCCTATTTGCCGCGGCTCATCACAGAGAACGTGGCAATGGCCCGGGGCCGACGTCTTCGTCGTTCTCGCCCCGTGTCTTGAAGCCTTCGGATGGAAGTCTTAGCGATACTTGCAGCAATTACGCTGCTCCGGATCTTCAGGGATATTACGCTCCCAACAGTCCGTACACCACTTCCTGGATGAGGCACAGTAACACGTACACGCCCAGTGGTCGATCTCAAGGTAGAAGAGAGGAAACTTTTGCTCCATTTTCAACAGAAACTCCATGATCGATCCTGTCTGCATTCTTTATTTGGGTCCGCATTGTAGGAATGGGACTCTGCGAAGCTGACAGCGTAGAATCCTTGGGATCACACAGAGCAAGTCTAACACACGCTCGGCTTCTGATGCACCAGAGAGATTCGACGGGGTCTCCTGCTCCTCCCAGGCTCAATAGGAGCAACTCTATCAGGTAAGATCCCTCGGCATTGTGAGGGATAAATTGCTCTGCCAAAGTACATAACTTCCAGTAGCCGGTGAAATCCTGGAAAGCGTGCATCCGCATCCGATGGTTAATTTCATTTTAGCTACGTGTTGCCCGTACGATTTGCATTTTGATGGTATACCATTAATATATTTTTCTAAAAACGAACAGCGTCCTACTTCGCTCGGGACTTACTTCTTATTATATCTAATATTTCACTTTGAGGGTGGAAATTGACGTCATTAGTTGGACGTGCACTGTAAATAATATCGAAAGAGCGGAGGTAATAAAATGCTTTTGATAATAACAATGGCTCTGATATCATACAACTTGATATTAAAAGTGGTTCGTAATGCCAGACCTATTCGTAACGTAAATTTCAATACTGACAAGATAATTAAATCTAAGTGAACAGCGAATGTCAAATTTCCTAACGTACCGAATACCATGTATCTGTTTCTCGATTCTTATGCAGTAACCTGTTATTAATTATTAACAAAATTGTCCCGAATGAGAAAATAATAAGTACGAATTTGATGCCATTTTAGCCACATGCGAGGCAGGACATTTCCAAGGTAGTGAATTAACAGACATGCATACACGACTCATTGAGAACATAAGTATTAACCTGGTTTTATTCGAGAATTCTGTGTGTGCGCTAAATATGATTTTTCGAATCTAAGGTGAACTTTGTCCCAGTCATAAGACATTCTTACGACAGTTTTTGTCGACCAATAAGCGAATGCATTCGAACCGTACCTTTCCCCATTTATTTGAAATACTCTTTGGGCAAAGTTCACTTCAGAGACTTGACATTTTCATGATTGAAATGCGTTATGAAAGGACATATCACTACGTAGTGCATCACCAATTTGAATAGATATATTGACTCCCTGTCGATACTACGTAATAATCAAACCTACAGCATGCTCTTCTATCCCGTTTATTTGACAAAACTTGGACTTTTCTTATTACTTAGAAAGATAACTAGAAAGAAGACCCAACTTGAACAACGAGAACCGATCGGAGATATTTGACTTGTCCTCGGACCGTGCCGAAGAATATACCATGCCGAAGAATTGAAAAATTAATTTTCATGCACATTTTTATGAATAAATACATAAAAATTTTTTTTTAGTCGAGTACGCTGTAGGTTAATAATTTGACTTATGCACATCAGGAGCACCTTCTACACCGAGTGCCTCGCACGTAAATGAACCATGCAGCCATAATTTCCACTGTCATTGACGAGTCTCTTGCATCCGAGCTTTGTACGCATTAGCATGAGAAATCAGTCGATAATACGCCGAGCGTGTACGGTGGGTGATCTAGGAAGTGGCGACCTCTCCGAACGGAAAGCCTTTCTATAATTATTCTTCGAGCCTTTTTCGCTGAACCCGCTTCCGGATCGCCCAATTACGTACACACTCTAATCGAGATATCAGCGGCTTGCTTCTCGAGAGGTCGAGTACCGAGGAGCAAGTGCTCTCCAGTCCGCTAGTCGATATTTCAAGAATAAATCCTCCCTTACCGGGTGCATATCTACGTGAGAGCGAATGAAAGAGATAGATACAGGGAAGTGGATACGGGAGAGAGAGGAAGAGCGAGAATGAGAGCGAAAGAGACGGGAAGAGCCGTTTGCAAAGTCAGTGTTCAAAGACTAGCCTGTAGATTAAGTCTCACTTTGCGTTCATTATACATTACACTAGTGCTTTGTATTCGGCGTCGAAGGAGAAGATTAAATTACTATAATGTGTATGTAGAAGTTCGCCTCTTTAGCCCTTAATGAGACCGCGTAAGATTTTTCGCCTGTCAACAATGGAATTCGAGGGAAATTTTTACGTGACGTAGGAATACTCTGGTTCACGAAGGCTCGTCGGTTTAAGGGCTACGGAGAGACAACTTTGAGCTTTTTGTAGAGTGTGCAAAGAACTCGATTGTCATGACTAGGGATGAATTTGGACACGTTTAGTGACTCTTCAAAGGTAGAAGTACTCGAGTTTTTCGCCACATCTCTTTTTCGTCAAATCTTAATTTCTGTGTGTCGCTTAAATTCTTCCTAGCAAGACAGACTTCGATTCGATTCATCTTCCAGTTTTATTTTCCGTTTATACCTACACGATGAAAAATTGACCGTAACCAGTACTTCAATCACTATATACTATTACCTCTTCAGAATTTGATATATAACTTTCCAATTAGAAAATGCTATACCAAATTGTTTCGACTACATATTACAACTGTTTCGCTGACAAAATTAATAACTTTTAACACAATTCCTTAGACCTGAAACTGTTACCTTCCGTCATTAGGCAAGTTAAGCTAAATAATTTATTTCTAGCTATCCACTTCCATATGTATTATTAAAATAATTCGAGAGACGAGTGCACACCGTACTGGTTATAGAAATCCCTTCTTCCTCGTGTACGTTTTTTTAACGACTTGTTTGACTATAGACGAAACGTATTTTTCTGAATTTCCTTAGGTCGACGAAGAGCGAGAAGATGTATCCTTCGATGCTCGCGCGAGGAAGCGGAACTTCGTCCTCGGTCGGTGAAGAAGGTGTAGGAATCGGCATGGGAGTCGGGGTTGAACCTTATTACAGCGTGCCCGTGGGATCGGCGGGATGTTCCGGTCAACATTGGTCTCAACCCACGTCTCCTACTCCAACACATGCCTCGAGACAGCCGCCGAATCTTTATCAACATGTCCATAAGGATGATGACAGTGAGTTCATGTAACGATATCGATTCTCTGAACCAAATTGAAACTATGTCGTTCGACTAATCACAGACTATACCAAACATCACAATCAGAAAGGATGTAGGTGACGGGAGTCACGTTTTCGTTCCATATCTCCTTTGCTTTATTTTTCCATTTTTAATGCACGCCGGTTTCTTATTCCTGAAAAATTGATGGCTGGTTTGTAATTAAAACGAGGCAATGTTTTTAAATCCTGTTGCGTAAAGTTCATAAGCTTATCGCGTAAAACGTGTGTAAAATGTTCATAAAGCTTTAATGTCTGTTACAGTTCATGGATCGTCCGTTTCTCTGGTGTCCACGGCGAGCAGCCTCTACAGTTCTGCCGAGGAAAAGCAGGCCCACGAGCTCCGAAAACTGAGACGAGAACTCCTCGACGCCCAGGAAAAAGTCCACTCCTTGACCAGTCAACTCTCAACAAATGTAAGTTGCTTCTTCACTCTCTTACTCGGTTTACGCGGTACCTCTGGAGTACTGTAACATCTTACACTTATTGATTTTAAAAGCTGCAAGAAATTGCAGAGAATGTGTGCATAGAATACGAACAAAACTTCATTCCGAGATGTTACTGTATCACTCTAGACGTATGACGCCATTTCTCTTATGAAAGTTTGAGATAAAGGATTCGAAGGACTATTCGTTCCTATCTGGAGACGAAAGTCTCGAGACATCGGAAGTTTGTGAATATAATCTGATATCCACTCCGAACGTTTGCGTTGGCGAAGTGCTCGCTTTCATGCGAACTGTCTGCCTTTACTTTTTCGTTAATGCCCCTCGTGAGCTTTCCTCTAGGAAAAAGCTTCCGACGCGACTGCCATGAAAGTTCTCCGAGACTTTGCTCTCAGGAAACTTTTCCGTCGAGAACTCTTCTCCCCTTTTGTACGGAGACTTTAACGAGATTATCTGGCCATCTATGATTATCCAACCATTTAAGAGTCGTCGTCTCTTGTGAAACCGTAGCTCGAGAGTTCTACTCTTCTCTCGGTTTTCACGGACGAGAACGACGTTTCTCTTCGGTTTTCACGGACGAGAAGGAAAGGTCCGTGTTTCCAAATCGGTCAAGGAGCGTTTATGTTCCACAGATTCGACACTTTCGAATGCGAAAGAAACTGAAGAACGAATGCGAAATTCGACATATTTTTGGCCCCTTGACTTACCGAAGTAATTGACATTAACCTTTACGGTCATTTCCTGTATACCTATTTCTACGGACACCCGTCAAATTGAGAGTAATCAGAAACCCGAATTTTCTCCAAAAACTCGTTTTATTTACTTTAGAAACAACTTAATGGGACACTATTAACTTCTAAATTTGATTGTGATATTACATTGTTACGTAATATTTATATTATCAATATTATCCATCGTTACAATTTATTCGGCACATTCTGTAATTTATTTCCTAAAATCTGACACTCGTCAAATTGATGGATCCCGTAAACCGCAAACGTTTCAATATACTGTTAGACAAAGATCATTTTACGAGTGAAAATACGAGCAAAATAGTGATCTCCTTTGAAGACATGTCAAATGATTCTTAACTCATACAAACGATTGCGAATTTACAGAGAGTTCCGCGAAGACGCCTCTCGTTAAAAGGGGAAGCCGTCTAATTCCTCAAGTTTGTTTTTCATTACTCCTTTTGATAAGGTACAGTTGTTGCAATAAACGCGATACGAATGAAATACTACCATTTTTATCTCTCATAATAATCGGAGGTCACTTTTCGGACTCTTGGATACAGACACGTAATAAAATCATATGCATTTTTCTAAGCGATTCGAGGATTCTTTCTTCGAGACCCCGGACTGTGTCCTCAGTATTTTATTTTTTAGTAAGAGTGAAAATAATGAAAAATGAAACCGTTTAGTAACCTCCATCTTAATCCTTCGCTTCGTCAAGCATTTTCGAGCGTTATCGATTGGTTTTCGAGCGTCATCGAGCGTTTTTCGAGTGTTTTCACGCGTTTTTAGAGCTTTTTCGAACATTATCGAGCGTTCTTCGAGCGTTTTCGAGCGTTATCGATCGTTTTCGCATGTTTTTCAAGTGTTTTCGAGCCTTATCGAAGGCCGTTGCGTGTTGTTAAGTGCAGTAGAGTGCCGGACAGTGCCGGAGAGTTGCCGGAGAGTTGCCGCAGAGTGGCGGAGAGTGTCGGAGAGTTGCCGCAGAGTGCTGGAGAGTGTCGGAGAGTGCCGCAGAGTGCCGGAGAGTTGCCGCAGAGTGCCGAAGAGTGTCGGAGAGTGCCGCAGAGTGCCGGAGAGTTGCCGCAGAGTGCCGCAGAGTGCCGCAAAGTGCCGGAGAGTCCCGGAGAGTTGCCGCAGAGTGCCGCAGAGTGCCGCAGAGTGCCGTAGAGTGCATTGTATTGCATTAGAGTGCAGTAGAGTGCCTTAATAAGCACTCTAATCAGAGTGCCGTAGAGTGCACTATATTGCATTAGAGCCCATTAGAGTGCCTTTATTAGCACTCTAATCAGAGTGCCTTGTTAGAGGGCTGCATCACTCTAATTAGAGTGCTCTAATGCACTATAATGCACTCTAATGCAATATAATTTTCACTATGGGACTGTAGGGCACTATAGGGCACTCTAGGGCACGCCGGGGCACTTTACGGCACTCTAGGGCACTCTATGGCAACCTACGCCACCCTACGGCACTCTACTGCACTGCAGGGCATTCTAGGACACCCTAGGGCACGCTAGGGCACGCTAGGGCACTTTACGGCTCTCTACGGCAGTCTACGGTACTCTACGGTACTCTACGGCACTCTACGGCACTCTAGGGCACGCTAGGGCACTTTACGGCTCTCTGCGACACTCTAGGGCACTCTAGGGCAACTTTCCTGCACTCTCCGACAACTTTCTGGCACTCTCCGGCACTCTGCTGCACACTCCAGCACTCTCCGGCACTCTGCGGCACTCTGCGGCACTCTGCGGCACTCTCAGGCACTCTCCGGCAACTCTCCGGCACTCTCCGGTACTCTGCGGCACTCTCCAGCGCTCTCCGGCACCCTCCGGGAACTCTTCGGCACTCTGCGGCATCTCTCCGGCACTCTCCGTCACTCTGCGGCAACTCTCCGACACTCTTCGGCACTCTCCGGCACTCTCCGTCTCTCTACTGCACTTATCAACACTCAACGGCACTGTACGGCCTGCGATGAAGCTCGGAAACATTTGAAAAACGATCGAAAAACGATCGATAACGCTCCAAAACACTAAAAACGCTCAAAAACGGTCGAAATACGCTCGATGACGCTTGAAAACGCTCGAAACCACTCTGAAAATGATCGAGAAACGCTCGAAAACACTCGGACCCGTAGCTTGACGCTTGGTTGGTTGGGACGCGCGAAGATTTCTAGGAGCGATCGCACCCACGCAGATTCACTGCATGAGAGTTCCGTACGCGACACCGACGCGTGCCCCAAAGCTCCGCATCACGTCGACTTCGAGGCAACAATGTACTTAATAGTAGTAGATAAGTAGATAAAGTCAAATGGAGCGTCACGAGTGTTCTTCCCTTACCATCGAAAGCGAGCAGTGTTGGTAAGCGTAGGTAAGCCACCACCGTCAACTGCCGCATGGTATTACCATCGCGAGTACGTGAGCCGCCGACGACTGGTAGATGGTACCGCCATCTAGAGTTCTAAATCCAGTAAGTTACGTCAGAAACGAAGAGAATTCCCGGTAATTTATCAGTAAATTCTCCAAAGCCTTTTTTATCGAGAAATTATGAGAATTTGGATTTTTCAACAAAGCAAACAAGAGATTTCGATTAGCTATAGAGAAACATCGTAGAGGGGAATTTCCGTTGTACGTTCTCCGTAGCCAATCAAAACTTCCCATTCGCGTCGTCGCAGAATGAAATATCTGTTTGTTTGAAACAAATGGCATGGAATTTTCCGTGAAGTTGTACATACGTGAATATTTTTAGCTGGAATTAAATACGACCCTATAATAAATATTTTCTAATAGTAATTATTACTCTTTAGCTTGAACTTTGAAGTTGATTGAAAAAAAAAAGTTATTTAAACGAAGAAACCTAAAGTATAAATAACAAAATTAACGTTCTCTTAAATTCTCAATGTTCCCGGTAACTTACGGTATGTTTCACAGTTACCTTCTCCAATTTAATGTTACTGAGAATTTTCGAACTCTACCGCCATCACGAGTGCGCGAGCTCCTATCAGAAATTCGTTGCGCCGCCCTTGGGGGCAAAAAACTGTGAAAGCTAACGTACGAAACCAGAGGGCAGCACAGGATGCGATCGCACGATCCTGCCCGTGAGCAATCTCCCAACTCATCTCTGACTGTACAATGAATAATTGGTCCAGCTGTCATGGACAAACAATGCAGTGTATACACGGTTGCGATTCTTTAATCGCTTTCTCAAGACCAATTGAACGCTCAGTTTACACCGAGCTCGTTACCAATTTTGAAGGCTCTCGTTCGAAAACTTACAACTCACTCATTGTTAAACACGCTGTTACCTTGATATAACATCTTAGTATTTATACCGATTAATAGACTATATGTGACAATTTTCACTTTCCATTCGTTCCGATTTAATTCCCATGCAAATCGCGCCAATTTCGAGGTTTCGTTCGAACGTACGCGCGATTGAATCCGGCGCGCCGTCGTCCTCGGCTCGCTTCGGCTGTCTTCGGGCATCTCCGCAGATCCGATTGGCGGTGGACCAATGGCGCTCCCGGAAGGTCAACGTGCGCCGCCAATCGGGCCAATCAGCGGCCGCCGTCGGCACGCCGCGTCCGGGATCGACTCGGGAGCGTGTCCAAGCGAGCTGCCGCAGTCCGTGCCGGTCCGTGCCGCGATGCGTAGTCTAGCGTGGTGTCACGCGGTGTCACGTAGCGTCACGAGGCGTCGTGCTTCGAGAATATCGGTGAGCTGTAGTGCCGAGTGCCGTGGTCATGCTTGTTCCGAATTACGTGCCCACGTCTCGCCGTAATCGTCGCGAGCTCGCTCTTTTGGCATTGGAAGGACCGTGAGAGATCGACGAGACGTGCTGGATCATATAAATAATAACGCGCGTCTCTGCAATGTATGAAAAATACAGACACACCGCAATTTTACGCACAGCCACGTGACGTGCGATTGAAAAAAGAGACGGTAAGGTACGCGTGTTCCATTTTCATTATGTAAGTAATAGTCGCTCCCTCGCAGACGTAACGATAAATCAATAATTCACGGGGAATACCAGCCACGTCGGAACATTATTTCCCGTAAGAAAGACCGTTTATCCTCATCGCCTTGGTCGCGTCTCTAAACCGCGGGGTGAAAACAATCGAGCATTACTGCATACACGCCACATGACAGCTGAACCGCTTATCTTGAACGTAATGCGTCACCTTTCGTGCGTACCGTATTTTGTAACATGTCGCATACGCGGAACGAACTTTATATCCCGTCTCCG